GGACTGAGTCTGGAGTAGAAACATCCAGAGCCACCGTGCACAGGCGTGTGCAGGAAATGGGCTACAGGTGCTGCATTCCCCAGGTCAAGCCACTTTTGAACCAGAAACAGCGGCAGAAGCGCCTGACCTGGGCTACAGAGAAGCAGCACTGGACTGTTGCTCAGTGGTCCAAAGTACTTTTTTCGGATGAAAGCTAATTTTGCATGTCATTCGGAAATCAAGGTGCCAGAGTCTGGAGGAAGACTGGGGAGAAGGAAATGCCAAAATGCCAGAAGTCCAGTGTGAAGCACCCACAGTCAGTGATGGTCTGGGGTGTCATGTCAGCTGCTGGTGTTGGTCCACTGTGTTTTATCAAGGGCAAGGTCAATGCAGCTAGCTATCAGGAGATTTTGGAGCACTTCATGCTTCCATCTGCTGAAAAGCTTTATGGAGATGGAGATTTAATTTTTCAGCACGACCTGGCACCTGCTCACAGTGCCAAAACCACTGGTAAATGGTTTACTGACCATGGTATTACTGTGCTCAATTGGCCTGCCAACTCTCCTGACCTGAACCCCATAGAGAACCTGTGGGATATTGTGAAGAGAAAGTTGAGAGACGCAAGACCCAACACTCTGGATGAGCTTAAGGCCGCTATCGAAGCATCCTGGGCCTCCATAACACCTCAGCAGTGCCACAGGCTGATTGCCTCCATGCCACGCCGCATTGAAGCAGTCATTCATGCAAAAGGATTCCTGACCAAGTATTGAGTGCATAACTGAACATGATTATTTGAAGGTTGGTGTTTTTTGTATTAAAAACACTTGTCTTTCATTGGTGGGATGAAATATGCTAATTTTTTGGGACAGACATTTTGGATTTTCATGAGCTGTATGCCATAATCATCAGTATTAAAACAATTAAAGACCTGAAATATTTCAGTTGGTGTGCAATGAATCTGAAATATATGAAAGTTTCATTTTTATCATTACATTATGGAAACTAATGACCTTTATCACAATTTGCTAATTTTTTGAGAAGGACCTGTATATATAGATATATATATATAAAGTATATATAGATAGTTTGATAGATATAGACAGACAGACAGATACCTAGATAGATAGAAACGTGTTTTAAACCCTTCCCACACTCTTGCAATATTCTAAACAATGTTTTTAAACTGTAAACGCTCTAAAAGAGCACAAAATGTCATGATTTCATGTCCCTGTCTCCTCTCAGCCACAGTTCCACTGTGCGTTCTTGGCCACACCCACTTCTCCACAGCAGAACAGACATCACAGAGGAGGAAGGAGGAGGATGTTTCTCCTGCAGTGTGGGCTGCACAGAAGTGCAGCAGGTGCTAAATAATTTAAAATAATTTATTTAAATAAAGATTCCATGCCAATTGTGTGACTCATCCATCAATCAGCCAATTGTGTGTCATGTCCAATGTTATTTTGAAAAACCACGATAGAGCGAGTCCGCGAATAACGAACCGCGAAGTAGCAAGGGACTGATTGAGCTTACAAACCTTTTTACTGTAATGGATATTTTTCACAATAAACAAATGATAAAAAATTATTTGTATAATTTAGTGTAACAAGCTTCATTTTTTTTTTTTTTATTATTCAGGAAAATCTGAAGTTATTTATGTAGAAATATGCAACAAACCAATGGATCTCAAATACCCCAAACACGTCCTCACATCTTAAAGATGTGAACAAGAGAATAATATAAACCTTGACAATAGCAGAGTTTTACCTGGCATATCCGGATGACAGTGATTTGAGGAGATCATAGAAATCCACAACGATTTCATTCAGAGGAAAGAGGAATTTCATCATGACACGCTGGTCATCAATGTACACCATGTTCTTCTGGACTGCCCTACGATTCTAAAAGGAGACAAACAGTTAGTCTGGTGTGCGTTTCACAAATAATCTGTTGAAATATCTGTCACTTTAATAAACTGATTTATAAATGGTAAATGGACTGTACTTATATAGCGTCTTTCTATCTAGTCAAGATACTCAAAGTGCTTTACAACACAATCTGTGTCCTCATTTACCTCCAAATAGCACTCTACTACATTTCTACAAAGCTAATCTGAATCTGTAGACTCATCAGTGCTTTAGATCACATTCATACACTGATGGGACACACATCAGAGGCTATGAGGGGCTCAATTCAATTCAGTTCAGTTTATTTCTATAGCACTAAGTCACAACAGACATTATCTCAGGGCACTGAACAAAATCATTCACATACATTATAAATACCAGTTAGTAAAGTTATCTATCTAAGGAAGGAAGGTTCAGTGTCTTGCTCAGGGACACTTCCAACATGTGACTGACGGAGGAATCAAACCCCCAACTCTCCCATTGGAGGCAACTGCTCTAGCCACTCAGCCACAGCTGCCCTGAATACATAATTCATAATTATAAACACAGCAGGAGAACATGAAGTGGATGAAGTTCATCAGACCTGAGGAACGACACCACCTAGTGATCTTTGATGTCACATGCAGACATAAAGGTGAATACTTGGGGAAATACATTTCTCATACCGGGTATATTCTTCTTTATGAACCCTTATATTGTCCTTTAACTTTCTGACCATTCGTGTTCATTAGAGGAAACAAATCAACCACCTTATTTAACTGATTAAAAATACCATTTTTTATTATTTTTTCACAATAAACTACTCCATCTTTTAGAGCTATCGCAATAATCTCTATACTATATCAAAGTTTAACGAACTTTAGTCCGAAGTTTTGTAAAGAACCTCCATCTCACTGAACCCTTCAGATCCAGTAGTCAAAAATTCGGTCTTGATTTCAGTCCATCCACTGGAACACAAACTCTCTATCATCAGAACTTTACAACATCGGGCCGAATGCGTCCCCACGAAGACAGAAGGTAAGGAAAAGGAACAGAAACACATTCAAGAAGCTCTTCAAACATGTGGATATCCTAACTGGGCTTTTGTCAAGTCAGCAAGGAAATCTACAAAACACACCAATAAAATGAAAAAGGAGAACAACAGACGGAAAATTATTGTCATCCCTTGTGTTGCTGGAGTATCAGAGAAATTCAGAGGAATCTTCAACAAACACAAGATCCCAGTACATTTCAAACCCAGCAGGACTCTCAGACAGAGGCTGGTCCACCCTAAGGACAAGACACCCATACACAAACAGAGTGGTGTAGTGTATGTGGTCCAGTGCAGCGAGGACTGTCCAGACCTCTACATTGGAGAAACTAAACAGCCTCTTCACAGACGCATGGCTCAACACAGGAGAGCCACCTCCTCTGGACAAGATTCAGCTGTTCACCTCCACCTCACAGAGAAGGGACACTCTTTTGAGGACCAAAATGTGCACATTTTGGACCGAGAACACAGATGGTTTGAGAGGGGGGTGAAGGAAGCAATTTATGTAAAAAGAGAAAAGCCGTCTCTTAACAGAGGAGGAGGCCTCAGATTTCCACTTTCAAAAACCTATAATACAACTTTAAAACAGATTCCCAGCCGGTTTTCACACCTGATGGGAACAGAGGGGCCTCGTCTGTGAATTAGAGGAACAAAAGACTCTTACTGTTAATGTTGTTTAGGTGTGAATTGCCAATCTACATATGTGTGTGTGTGTCTTATCTCACTCAGCCTTATAACCTGAATCTCTCACTCTCTGCTCTTTGAATTGAGAAAGCTCCTCGGATGAGGAGCAAAACGTCTTCTGTTACAAATAAAGTCCAGTTGTTTTTGTATTGAACGTTTTTTGAATTCATCATGTCCTGGATGACTGAGAATCTTCACCAGCAGATTGGTGAAGATACAGATATTCTTTATTAGAGATTATGTACACAGGGTCCCAGTTACATCCAACAATAAAATGTAATAAGAAAAACAGTGATAAGATGTAAGATATGAACTAAGAAAAACATTAGCAAAAAATACGCTAAGCACCAATAGCATAAAAACAAACACAATACACCAACAACAGCACAAACGAGTCTGAGTGAGCAGATGAACACGACTGAAGACAGCAACATGAAACAGATCAGCAGCAACATGAAACAGATCAGCAGTAACATGATGTGATTTTTCACAGTGATTCTTCTGTTAGATTCATGAGTCTAACAGCCTCAGGGTAGAAGCTGTTCCTCAGTCTAGTGGTTCTACACTTAATGCTCCTCAATCTCCTTCCTGAAAGGAGCGGGGCAAAAAGTGTGTGTGCTGGGTGAGTGGGGTCCTTCATGATGCAGGTGGCCCTCTTCCTGCATCTGGAGGTGTAGATGTCTGGGATGGTGGGGAGACTGACTCCAACATCTTCTGTGCAGCCTTCACCACTCTCTGCAAAGCTTTTCTTTCTGCAGCTGTGCAGCCTCCATGCCATACGTTGATGCTGGAGCACAGGATGCTCTCCACTGCACACCTGTAGAAGGAGGTGAGGACTGAGCTTCCAGACCAGCTCGTCTCAGCCGCCTGAGGAAGTAGAGTCTCTGATGAGCTTTCTTGATCAGCCTGGTGGTGTCGTTGCCCCAACTGAGATTGTCATTCAGGTGCACACCTAAATACTTGTAGTTGGAGACCACTTCCACTGCAGATCCTCTTATCTTCAGTGGGGTGTAGGTGTGTTTGTTCCTTCCACTTTCACTCCTTTCCTTTCACTTCCAAGATGGCGCCCGAGCTGGTGGCTTGCCGTTCACCTCTGTCCACTCTGTTTCTTTTTTTGCTATTTTTATAATTTTTCTTCAATAAAATCAGCTCACTACTGGTGTATGATCGCCAGCAACTGCTCAATCTACAATTTTCCACCACTTATCTCGCCTCCTATGAACATTTTGATCGGGGTTCTGGGCCCCCACCTCCACTGCTTGGGAACATACCTGGGTATCTCCAGCGCGCGGCATTCGTGCCTGCACGAAAACATCGCTCTCGTCGCCGTGGGAGACGTGCTGGCCGCCTCGTGAGGCTCAAAGCTAGCCTCGCTCGTTCCTCAGCTACAGCTGTCCACCGGAATGAGGTTTCTCCACCTGGATGCTTCGCGGAGTCCTGCCTGCTGCAGAACATCGGGTCGAGGCGTGCAGCGAGCGCACCCCCAGCTGCGGTGTTTCCAACCGTATCCAGCAAACCGTAACCAACCCGGGTCCAACAGCTGTACCATCTGCTGCCCCATCTGATCGTACCAACGACCCTGCTGTGTCTGGCGGCTCCTGGATTCCGGCTGTTCGTCCCGGCTGCACTTTCTCCGGCCGGAGGAGGCGAGGACCCGACGTAAACCGCTGATCTGCGCCCCCCCTCAACTTCTCCCTCAGCTGCTGACCCAACAAGGTTTGCTCTCCTCAATGTGAGGTCTTTAACAAACAAAACCTTCATCATTAACGACTTTTTCTGCACAAATAATCTGGATTTAATGTTTCTGACGAAGACTTTGCTTCCTCTGGGTGAGTCAAGTGTTTTTTCTGAACTGGTACCTGCTGATTGTACTTTTCTTAATTGCCCGAGGTCATCTGGAAGAGGTGGAGGAGTGTTGGCTGTTTTTAAGAAAATCTGGAAATGCAGACTGTTACAGACACCATCTTTTCAGACCTTTGAACTGCTGCATTTTGAACTGGGCCTCTCCAAACCCATGTTGATTGCGGTGCTTTATCGACCGCCCAAATCCTCCACAGGCTTCATCAGTGAACTGTCTGTCTTTCTCACTGCAATACTGTTAAAATACGACCGTGTGCTGATTCTAGGGGACTTCAATGTGCACGTCTGTTGCCCTGAAAAGCCTTTGGTTCAGGACTTTTTAAATCTGATCCACTCTTTAAACCTGGTGCAAAATGTTGTCGGCCCCACACACCATCAGGGTCACACTCTTGATATTGTTCTGTCTTGTGGTGTCTCTGTGTTAAATCTGGAAATTGGGGATGCTGTCATGTCTGATCACAAACCAATCTCATTTGTAATACCTCTTGCTCGTGTTTCGAAATCTCCCGCTCCACCCAGGACCTGTCATATATTTAACCCTTCAACTGCTGCTCGTTTTTCCTCTGCCTTTATTACCACTGCTGCTACAACACCTGAAACCTCTGCCTGTGTCGGTGCTCAGGAGCTGCTTAGTAACCGCAATGTGACCTGCACTAAGATCTTGGATCTGGTGGCCCCACTAAAAGTCAGGAAACCAAGGAGAGCCCAGTACCCATGGATGAATGAGACCACCAGGGCAGCGAGACGCCTGTGCAGGAGAGCTGAGCGCAGGTGGAAAAAAGACCATCTCCAGGTTTCTTTCATTTTGCTCAAAACCTGTTAAAAAAATTACCAGAACACTGTCAAATCTGAAAAAAAAAAAAATTTCTCCCAACTCATCAACTCAAATAGACACAACCCCTGCGCCCTATTCACAACAGTAAATTCCATTCTAAATGTCCCTTCGTATTCATGTATGAAGGCCTCTGTTGACACCTGCAATGACTTCACTAAATTCTTTGTTAACAAAGTGGAGTTGATCAGGGCCTCCATCCCCCGCTCCTTAGTCGACCCATCAGCTTTTGTTTCGTGTTCTGCTACTTTCAGGCAATTCAAACCAATCACACTCCCATTGTTAAACAAAGTTGCTGGTCACATAAAGCCATCAGGATCACCATTAGACCCCATCCCAGCAGCATTGTTCAAACAGGTTCTACCAGCGATTGGGCCTGCAGTTCTAACTATACTAAACAGTAGTATTGCTACAAGCGTGGTCCCAGAGGCCTTCAAACATGCAGTAGTCACACCGTTAATTAAGAAACCTGGTCTTGACCCTTCAGCCTGCTCAAATTACAGGCCAATCTCAAAACTCCCCTTTCTGTCCAAAATCCTGGAAAAAGTAGTTTTTACTCAGTTAAATCAGTTTTTAACTGAGAACAAA